GCGAACGAAACAAAACCCGACTCCAGATAAAGTTCGCGACGAGGAAACGACATCATACCCGATCAGAAATAGCGTAATACGGGCCCTTTAAGCTTCAATCTGCCAGGCTTTAAAAAAAAAAAAAAAAAAAAAAAAAAACCCAACCACAATCTGACACCAACGCCAATTACTTGAGTGCGCTGGTAAGAGGAGGGAAACGCGATATCAACACAGAGGAGCTAACGCGCCGCTCCGGGCTGGCGTTTTGGAAATAAGAAGTGCCAGAAGTTTATTTTTATCTGTACAATTTAAAAGAAAGACGGGGCTGTGTTTAAAGAAAGAGGAAAAGGTTGGTGGGCCGGGTCCTCTCGGTTTACATTACGACAGGCTTTTAACTGATCGTCACAGAACGGCTCCCGGCGTAATCTGATGGGCACGGACGCGCTGAGGTAATACGCGGCAACGTCGGCTCCGATTGGACCAATTGAATTAAGGCTCGTTCAAACTTACTGGAATTAGAAAACTGAGACTAAATACAATATCGTATGGAGAAGCCGGATCCTCCCAGACCTAACGGCAATTTGTCCTCGCCTGGATTTTTTTTCTTGATTTTGCTCTTAAAACTCCAAATTTTAGCCCCTAATAAAGCGTTATACATCTTTTTTTCAGTACAACTTGTTATTTCACAATCTGCTGCTGTAGTTTTTGTCATAGGGCTGTAATAAAAGCTATAAGACCAGAAATACAACTGAAAAAAAAAATCTAAAACAAAAAAAATGGAAAATAAAATTGACACTCTTTCATACAAAACCAGTGTTGGGAAGGTGACTTTTAAAATGTAATCCCCTACAGATTACAGATTACACACACCAAAATGTAGTTTGTAACATAATCCATTAAATTACTTAAAGTGAGTAATGTAATCTGAATACTTTGGATTACTTGATTTGCTGTAGAGAAACAAAGACGAGGAAATCTTCACATAAGAAGTTTTGTCTGATAAAAGAAAATAAAAAGACCAGACTTTACTGAACCAAATTAAAAATATTATTGATAGAAGATGAGGAGACACGTCCACACAACATGGTTTAGTCCTGTTCTAGTCCTGGTTTAGTCCTGGTTTAGTCCTGGTTTTAGTCCTGGTTTAGTCCTGTTTAGTCCTGGTTTTAGTCCTGGTTTTAGTCCTGGTTTTAGACCTGGTTTTAGTCCTGGTTTAGTCCTGGTTTTAGTCCTGGTTTTAGTCCTGGTTTAGTCCTGGTTTAGTCCTGGTTTAGTCCTGGTTTAGTCCTGGTTTTAGTCCTGGTTTAGTCCTGGTTTAGTCCTGTTTTAGACCTGGTTTTAGTCCTGGTTTTAGTCCTGTTTTAGTCCTGGTTTTAGTCCTGGTTTTAGTCCTGGTTTAGTCCTGGTTTTAGTCCTGGTTTAGTCCTGGTTTAGACCTGGTTTTAGTCCTGGTTTAGACCTGGTTTAAGACCTGGTTTAAGACCTGGTTTAGATCCAGTTTAGACCTGGTTTAGTCCTGGTTTAGTCCTGGTTTAGTCCTGGTTTTAGTCCTGGTTTAGTCCTGGTTTAGTCCTGGTTTAGTCCTGGTTTAGTCCTGGTTTAGTCCTGGTTTAGACCTGGTTTTAGTCCTGGTTTAAGACCTGGTTTAGATCCAGTTTAGACCTGGTTTAGTCCTGTTCTAGCCCTGTTCTAATCCTGGTTTAGTCCTGGTTTAGTCCTGGTTTAGACCTGGTTTAGACCTGGTTTTAGACCTGGTTTTAGACCTGGTTTAAGACCTGGTTTAGTCCTGTTTTAGTGTCCAGCAATGAGTGGAAGTATCGCCCAAAATGAGAAAACAGGAAAATATCGCTACGTAATCCATTTATTTCAACAAAGTAACTGTAATCCAATTACCACTCACTGAAACAGTAACTGTAACTGAATACAGTTACTCATAATTTGTACTCTGATTACATAACTCTGGTACATGTAATCTGTTACTCCCCAACACTGTACAAAACACACATCAAACATGTATAAAAAACTTATCGGACATAAAAAAAAAAAAAAGTTTAATTTAGGGCCTTAGCTACAAAAGTGCAAAATATCAAGTCTGTAAATAAACTAAAAATATCCTTTTTGCCTCAAAACAACAACAAAGTGCAATGGCCCCTTGACTTTACTTCATACTTTAGTCATGGAAACAGCTCTTGTCAGTTTATTACATTGGGATTTGGACATTTGGAATGAAATAAACCTGTCAATTAAAATTAGCTGTAATAGGGATGCACAATTATACAGTCCAAGATGCGTAATTTGCCATTTACCGTATTTTCCGCACTATAGGACGCGCTCTTAAGCCTCCGACCTCATCAAAAAACGACTGTACGCCACAATCCAGAGCGCCCTATACACGAATCCACTCGGGTGTCCCAGTACGACTTTAGTAAACTACAAAGCCACAACCTCCCGCAGAACACGCAAACACACACACGGAGCAGACAGCGACCGCGTGGCGAAAAACAGACACACTCATCACTCCACGCCGACGAGGAACGGAACGGAGGAACGAACCGAAAAAGCGAGCGCAACGTGCCACTTCTAGACACGACTGAACAACTGAGTCACTGCGAACACGCCGACAATCCGTTGGTCCCAGACAGCACCCTCCCTACACGCCACAACTGAACAAAGCCCAGAGTCACCGTGAACGAACAAACAAACAAAACCACTCACCCATCACACTGTTGTGTTTCCTTTAAAGTCCACGTGCGTTTATTTGTGAAAAAAGTTCAAAAATAGACCATTTAATGACAGTGCGTCTTATAATCCAGAGTGACTAATAGTGCGGAAAATACGGTATTTGAGAAATATCTGCACTTAGAGAGACTTTTTCGATTGTTACGAACACAGACGCTCAGAGCAGATGACCATCTTGACTCACTACACTCTTTGGCAAAGTTTGGGTCGATCCGAACAAAATTGGACATTCGGAGTCGAATGTACTGTACTTGGAAAGAGTTAAAATATGGGAAATATAAAAGAGGCATTGCAGATTTAAAGCGGCTGTGAAGTGTTTTTAAAATAGAAAAGCTTGAATGGATCGTGTTTAAGTTTGTTTTTTGTAAAATTTTCAGTTTTGCTCAATTATTTCTATTAATCACTGTGTTAAAAAAGTAGAAATGTATGTTGCAGTTACAAGGGTTGTTCATGACTTTTTACATTTATTGATGGTTAAATTGTCGCTTAAAAAAGAGTGCAGTGTTTACAAAATGTTTTTACTGCTAGAAAATACTGTGAAAACCATGCACTTTAACTATGAATGGGGTCCTTTTTTTCACAGATCTGACCTGTAACTTGGCCTGGTGGGACGTCCCGTTGTCTCCACAGAGTTAAATAAATTTAATGCCATACTGAAGAAAAAGGAGATGTTTTAGAGGTTGCTCAAGCTGCATGACGTTTCCTGGAAAATGACTCATTTTGTGTTTTCAAGTCACTTTTTATGGACTTGATGAACTTTCTAAGCAACTCTTATGCAAGTTTCAATTTGTGTTTACAAAATAAAATGACAAATTAAACAAACAGGCCTTATTTATTTGGTTCATTATGTTACAGTATAGGCCCCGTAACAACCTCTATATATTGATTAATTTGCATAAAATTTAGACCTAAATATTTTGGCCAGATATGCAAACAAATGCATTGTTCTAATCTGGAGAATCTAAAAAATATATTTTTGTACCACCCTCATGTACCTCTGCACCAGAAAAGTTACATAAAGCACTTGTGGGGACTCACATTGATTATTGTAGATTCATATTTCCTGATTATAGGAGCCATTTTGAGGACTTTTGATCATTCAAAAGACAGAATATTTTGTATTTGACATGTCAATTGTTCAAATTTTTCATGGATATCTTAAAAACACCAAATTCTACTACACTGTAAACCCGAATAAGTTACCAGAACTCCAAAAAATTGATTAATTAATTTAAGTTGACAAACTTAAATATCACAATCTTCCAGAACTTAAAAGGATCTCTTGCTACTGGTACCCTTTGATAACAGCTGAATTAAAAGTGCTCATTTATCTCAACTCAAATATTTGCAAGTTAGAGTTTTCAAACCACTGGAATAATTTGATTTTGTATGTAGGTCATATACAAAATGTGAAAGTCAGGGAATTTACTAGTCTAATCAATATTATATAATATGTATATGTATACATACATACTTACATACATTACACATTACAGTATACACATAGTGCGTTATACATACAATAGATATTATTTTTTATTTACTTAATTCTACTAAGTTGTACCTCATCTCTGTTTTTAAGTTACGCTCATTTATACCCTCAATAATTCCCGTTCACAAAAAAATATTAGTTAAAATTACTCAAAAAGAAGAACATGTTACAGCAACTTGACATAATTAAGTTAGTAGGATTATTTCTAAAACTTTGAGTATACACAACTTAATCTGTTTAATTACTTTGAACGCTCGGGTTTACAGTGTAGTGTCCTTCAAACAAATATACAGCAGTAGAAATGTAGTAGAAATGTTCATTTGGTTTTCTGATCTTTTATTTTAATCCCTCACTAGTGGTTTTCCTCTGAGTGCTCATGTGATTTTGCCGTAGCAGCAGGACGACAGCGCCACCCGCAGTCCGACTTCAGGACAGTATCCCAGTATCCCAGGTGTGTGAGAGTAAAAAAGCCCCCTGTCCCGGTTTACAGTCCCATGGGTGTTTTTTTTCTAAACCCGTTTACACGAGCTGAGCAGACATGTCACAGCAACATCACTGAGCACTGAGAGGAAAACTAAACCTAAAACTAAACCTAAAACTGAACCGTGGTCTGAAAAAGAAATGATTAATCAAATAAATTATCGGTCATGTGGAGATATGAAACCAAACTAAACCTTCGTCTGAAAAAAGAATTGATTAAAATAAAAACGCAGCGTGTTACTGTGTCTGTGTCTGTGTGTTTGTGTCTCTTTGTGCGTGTGTGTGTTTGTGCTGTAATGAGCTCTCTGACCTTGGAGTGTGTGATGGACAGCGTGTCGACCCAGACTCTCCAGCCGCCCCACTCGTACTTGATGGCGTGGTACAGCAGGATCCTGAAGATGGCGTAGACCATCTCCGTGATCTTCTGCTCCTCCGTGTTTTTGGGGTTGATGAAACACAAAGACAACATCCACTCCTGCCACACGGAGCACTGCAGCAGACTCCTGAAACACACGACGCGACGCGAGGTTATTTAAGGAATTCAGAGGCTTTACAGAATAAAAAACACATTAAAAGGCCCATGATTTTACACTATTTTCTCATCTATGTTATAATGTTTCTTCATCACAAACAGACCTGGAGTTGTGTTTTGTTTCATTCACACGTTTAACCCCGATGTTGGTCACGTTACTTAAAAAAGTAACGTAAAAAGTAAAAAGTAATTAGTTATAGCTACTTTTCCCAATAAGTAGTTGCGTTAGTAACTGAATTGCTCCAATATAAAACTAAGTTAACGGGGAAAGCAACACATTTTTTTTTTTTCTTAGGGCCACGACCCGATGACGTCATCACACTGTGCTGTTTGTTTACATGTCGAGCAGCAGAGCGAACACTTTTTAGCTGAGAAGATAAGTCTGGTGCGATACGCTTTTCTCCATGAGTTTATGGCAAACTCATCCGTGTCAAAAGGCCGAGTTCAATGGCGCATGATTCCAGATTCGCCTTTAACCCGGCGAGATTCTTCCGGTGGCTCTGGGCCCATTGAGCATGTGCAGTAGTGCTCCATGCTCTCACGGACACACGTGAATGCACGGAGCATGGTCTCGTGTATCATGTGATCGCTTTGACCAATCAGAGCGAGAAGAGCAGAGCAGAGCAGAGCTAATATTTATAAAGTGTTTTTTTTTTAAGACAACTGAAGGATTTTGGGTAACACTTTATAATAACTACACCTTATTTAGCCTTAATAAAGCATGAACAAAGGCTTAATTAATAATGATTCACGCTTAGTAACTACTTAATTACTACCTGAATTAGCACTTGCACTTAATCTGCCTGTGCTGTAAATAGTTAATTATAATTATTTCATACTTAATTACTCATGAACTAACCATTTGAGCATTTATTAATCATTAGTAAACTATGAGAGAATGATTTACTAATAATGCAATGCAATGATAATTCAGGCAGTTGTTATCTGTTAGTTAAGTCTTTTTGAGAGCTTTTCTAAAGTGAAGACGAATTATCCTTTATTAAACATTTACTAAGCGTGAATCATTATTAATTAAGCCTTTGTTCAGGCTTTATTAAGGTTAAATAAGGTGTAGTTATTATAAAGTGTTACCGGATTTTGAACTGAGAAAAAGTTTATGATCTAAAAACAGGTAAAAATCGCCACAAAATCCAACATTTCTGAAAATAGGTCCCTGTCAAACGAACACAAGACGTTTGTGTTTGCGTTGCGTTCTATGAGAAAAATCTTCTCTGAGCCCAGGGGATTTTTTCCGCTGAAGTACCAGCGAGTGTCACTACGTCACCTGGAGGCAGCTACAAGCAGAAACACACTATCCAGTTATTTGAATAGATCCATGGTTTATGGATATAACAACAGCGCAGAGGAGTGATGACGGACGGAGACGAGGCTGCAAAACTTTTTAAAAGGTAAGAGCGGATTCAGTGTTTCAGAGCGAACTTCATTCACATTTGAGTATGAGTGAGAGCCAAGACGCGTAACAGCTTCAACGAGGAGCTTTAGCAGTAACGGCTTGATGGTAAAAGTACTTGATGGTAAAAGTAACGCCGTTAGTAATGGTGTTTATTTTAACTGTGCTTATTTTAACAGAATTATTCCCATCTCTGTTTATTACACATTTCTGTTTGTCCGTTTGATTCTTATTGTTGTGTTTTTAGGGTGACCACGTTTAATGTCGACGTAAACTGTCCTTGCCAAATAAACCAAATAAATAAATAAATAAATTCAAATCTTGTCTCAAACACTCCACCTCGTTCCACCTTGTGACGTCATTAAGTGGTAATACAGGAAGTGTTTCTCTGTGTTTTTAAACTCCACACACCTTGACTAGAATAATTTTGTTGATTTCAGCCCTGGAACTGCCAAACTCTACTGAACAAAAGGTAAAAGTTAGCGGGTTAACTTCACTTCATGACATCACAAGGTGGTATTTTGATCTTTGTAGATGTGGACAGACTCTGACAGACTTTGTGCACTTCTGCTCTACTGAGGAACCTCTTCTTCTGAATTGGACAAATCTCGCCAACAGAGGTAACAGAGCTTTTTCGGTTCGTGCCTTCGTCTTTGGGACTCACTGCCCCATAACCTCCTAAGGTAAATGTCATTTTTTAATTTAATTTAATTTAAATTTATTTTAATTTAAATTTATTTTATTTTATTCTTTTTTATTTATTTTAATTTATTTTATTTTATTTTTAATTTTTATTTTATTTTAATTTAAATTTTTTTATATATTTTTTAAAATATTTTTTTTTTGTATTTATTTATTTTATTGTATTTTTCATGTTTATTTATTTTTTTTATTTATTCCAGCAAGCATGTCGTTGATCGCATCCTGTAGCATTTTGGAAATTGTTTGACTGTTTTAATGTTTTTTTTTTTATTAAATACTGTAAATACTGTACGTTTTTGTATTATAATAACACAGAATTACTCAGACACGTGTGAAAGAAACAAAACCCAACTCCAGTTACGTTTGTGAGGAGGAAACATCAGAACAGAGCTCAGAAAACGGCGAGATACGGGCCCTTTAACATCAGCCGTAAACCCCCCGGGGCCCGCGGGTTTATCTCCACACTCACCTGCGGTTCTCTCGGCTGTTATTGAAGAGTTTGATCATGTCTGACAGGAAAACCCGGCGCACCTCCATGGTCTCTGCGGAGGGGGCGGAGCTCTTGAGGAGCGCCGCGATCACCTTCAGGATCTCTGCAGAAGAAAACGGAGAGAAGAGGATAAACGAGGAGCGAATGTGGGAGTGTGTGTTAGAAATATGCTCACAAATAAACTACACACTCAGTAGGTACAAGAACTACAAAGATGGAGTCATGATTTTAATGACTAATGATTGAAAAAAAAAACTCTTCATATTGAAATTTGTTTGAAAATTCTTCTGTCGTATACTGTCATAAAAGTAAGAAAATAAATAATGTACGTATCATTCGTTCATTAGTTTTTTCCAAAAATAAGAAAATGAAAAAAACTGCTATTTTCTTTATTATTTGTCTCCAAAACCAAAATGAAAAAATGGATAACAATTAATTTTTTCAGTTTTCGTTTTTGTGTTTAAATGAAAAATGGAAAAAACAGATCACGACCGTTTCCTGTTTCCGTGACTTAAACTGAGATGCTGGACTGAACCAGGACTAAATCAGGACTCAACCAGGTCCGGGACCAGACTGGAACCAGACCGGGACTGAGACCAGGACTAAGACTGGGACCAGCCCGGGACTGAGACCAGGACTAAGACTGGGACCAGCCCGGGACTGAGACCAGGACTAAGACTGAGGGACTAGACAGGACTGACTGGACCAGCCCGGGACTGGAGACAGACTGGGACCAGACCGGGACTGAGACCAGGACTAAGACTGACCAGCCCTAAGACTGGAACCAGACCGGGACTAGACCGGGACTGAGACCAGGACTGAGACCAGGACTAAGACTGGGACCAGACCGGGACTGAGACCAGGACTAAGACTGGGACCAGCCCTGACCAGACCGGGACTGAGAGGACTGAGACAGGACTGAGACCAGGACTGAGACCAGGACTGAAGACTGGGGACCAGCCCGGGACTGAGACCAGGACTAAGACTGACCAGGGACTGACCAGGACTGAGACCAGGACTGAGACCAGGGACAGCCTAGACTGGACCAGACTGGACCAGACCGGGACTGAGACCAGGAGTAAGACTGGGACCAGACCTGACCAGGACTAAGACTGACCAGGGGACTGAGACCAGACTAAGACTGGGACCAGCCTGGAGGACTGACTGGGACCAGACTGAGACCAGGACTTGGGACCAGCCCGGGACTGAGACCAGGACTAAGACTGGGACCAGGGAACCAGACCGGGACTTAGACCGGGACTGAGACCAGGACTGAGACCAGACTAAGACTGGGACAGACTGGGCCCACCTTTCTTTTGTTACTTTTTCTTAGTTTTTTGGGCACGGGTTAAGGGTTTTCTTTTTTCGATTACAACACCTACAAAGTCAGAAAATTTAAAAAAAACAACTCTAATCCTTAACTTTGTTTCCATGTCTTCCTAAATACTGTATGTTGGGATTCATTTTTTGGGTCATAACACACACACACTAGTCTGATTCATCAGCCAGTTTCACTTAGTAGAAACCGTCTGACCTCGCAGCATTAGGATTCGTTCACTCGACGGTAGACAGGTACTTTTTTTAATTTAACCAATCGCTGCTATTTGGTCGTGACGTATGTAATGCGCCGCTAACGGGACTAACTGGTACATCAAGCTTTTCCCAAATCCCGTAGGAAGAAGGACAATAACGTCTTTCCCCTTGATAAAATTCACTAAACATTCTCTTTGTTCCGGCTTTAAATCCTCGATCTCGAGAATCTTTGACAACACAGAATGTCTGTCTCTTCGCTGATTGGTTGGTGCCTGAACTCACACTTCCGGGGTTTTTGTGAACCGTCTATGAAATGAAATTGAGCAAAGACACTAGGTGGCGCCAGCCTGACTAGATCCTTATGTCCCTATGGGGGAAAAAAGTTATAAAATCTTCCTGTGCAGATTTGACAATTTATTTGTTTCCACATGAAAGCTTGTGTGTTAAGAGAGCGCTCCCCAAACACCAAGGCCAGATTATTCATATGGACCAGTGGCACAATGCCCAGGGACACCAAACATTACAACCAGTGAGGGGCACCACATGACACAAACTTTGAAAACTTTTTTTTTTTTTTTTTATTTGTATGGGTAACACTTTATAATAACTACACCTTATTTAGCCTTAATAAAGCATGAATAAAGACTTAATTAATAATGAACAAAGACTTAATTAACAATGATTCACACTTAGTAAATGCTTAATAAAGCATAATTCTTCTTCACTTTAGAAAAGCTCTCAAAAAGACTTAACGAACAGACAACAGCTGCCTGAATGATCATTGCATTGCATTATTAGTAAATCATTCTCTCATAGCTTATTAATGCTTAATAAATGCTCAAATGCTTAGTTCATGAGTAATTAAGTATGAAATAATTATGAGTAACTATTTACAGCACAGGCAGATTAAGTGCAAGTGCTAATTAAGGCAGTAATTAAGTAGTTAATAAGTGTGAATCATTATTAATTAAGTCTTTGTTCATGCTTTATTAAGGCTAAACAAGGTGTAGTTATTATAAAGTGTTACCTTTGTATGTTATTCAGTTGAAAATGTCAAATGGCCACACATAACTCATCATTAAAACTAATTTCAAAATAACAACAATAATAATAATGATAAAAATGAACAAATTAAGATTACATGACCATTCATTCCCCATGACATATGAGAAGCGCTTTTGTTTGTTTGTTTTTGACAGGAAGACAGGGGTAAGGTGCGTCTTTATGTGTGTGTGTGAAGTACCACGTTGTACTTCTTAAAGGAGGATGTACTAAAATATAATCCAAGTATTGTGTTTAAGATATTACATAACTTCGCCATTTGTAGAAGTTGCTTTACCGATGCAAACTTCTGACATCATATCGACGTGACACTGTTTAACACATCCTAACTCTTACGTAATTGTTCTGTGTGTTTGTGTGTGTTTCTCTTATTAAAGGTTGTATAGAAGATTTTCCAAGGAAAGAGAAATGCAGCGACTGTTTGTCCTTTTTCAAATGTTGTGCTTTGCTCCTTTTCCCCTTCTCTTCTTCTTTCCGCGACGTCAAAAACGGACTTTCATTCGCGATGAACTGGTCGTGAATTCTTGTCCGCCGTCACGACAAACTTTGCGCAAACTGAGAGGAAGCTACAGTTTCGAAAAAGACCCCGAGAACCGCTGTATCGGTCGAGTAAACGGCATCAGTGCGTGAGAGGCGAACGTAAACCTCTTAATCCCAGCGCGCCGGCGAGTCAGTGACGCTAGAAATGTAAGGAGTTTGATTAACAACCCAACAGCCAATAGAAAATGAGGTAGCCTTGTTTTCTATTGGCTGATGTTTATCTGGCCTCAACACGTCCACAGTTGATGGATTTTAAATTATTATTTTTTTGGTCATCATAATTACAAGGCTGCTGCATCTCTGTAATGGTACTTTAAACTTTCACTGACAATTTGAAACAAGTAAAAAAAATCCTCCATACAACCTTTAAGTCAAATCAGTCTGGATATTATTTATGCGCCGTAACATAAAAAAAAACATCTTCAGTCTTTATTTCCCTGCTTTTCTGGTCCGTGGCGTAAAAAAAAAGTTGGGGACTGCTGCGCTAAGACACCAAAATGACCAAAAAATGTTTAAAAAGAAAGTTAGTTATTTGCCTGTAGTGTCTCCCCTTCAGTACATAAGTAAATTTAATAAACAAAATATTTTTAAACAATTTTCTTAAGTATTTTAGATCCGTTTTTGACCCTGTGACCTCTGGATTTTTTATTTATTCTTGCATCACACGACGCGAAGTTCAGTCCGTTCCAGCTTCGGCTCCGACGCCCCGACACACACACACCCGTCGCTCCCATCGCCACGGCAACAGCTACACCCCCCCACCCCGCCCGCTCCCATCGCCACGGTAACGCCTCCGTCTCTCTCTCTCTCTTTCTCTCAACATGTGCGAATGATCGAGGAGTCGCTAATGATCCCAGCTCCTCGTCGTACACACCTGAAAATCAGACGTACGCGAAGAAAAAACAAAACAGATGAGGAGAATTAAAAAAAAAAAAAAAACGAGAACGCAGAAAAGCTCGCAGACTGTTGATGTTTATCGTAGTGTAATGGTTTGCGTATTGTTCCGAGTGAGAGCGCCAGGCCCCTCCAGTTAAACCGAGGAGACTGGCTGTTTATATGAATTATCTCGACATTGTCAGTGCCCATTTGCGCCGGGCCGAGAGACGCGGCGGCTCGGGTTTCACTTCGTCTCCTCAGACCTTGGCCCTAACCGTTTTTTTTGTGGGTTTTTTTTGGCCTTTCTGTTGTTACTACGCCTTAGTCGCTCAAATTACGAATTCGCTCAACCTTTAAGGCCACAAAATTACCCCAGCCAGTACCGGGAAGAGAGCGAAAGGCGAGGAGACAGAGCGTATTCTCTTCGGTTTTTCTTCTCCTTCTTTTTCTCTTCACCAGAAAAGTTACACAGTGCAGCTTTAAGTAGATACTTTTACTTTTATGTTAGTATTTTTGTTGTGGTATCTGTGCTTTTACTTAAAAAATACAATTGAACACTTTTTGCACCATTTGTGACCAGTAGAAAATATGTTAAGTTTTCATATAAAAATAAGTTTGTTTAAAGCTGCATTGTGTAACTTTTTGGTTGGTTAGGGGTCCCTCGCCTGCTTGTTTCTATGGATACGTCATTGCTCTGCCTGGAATGTTCCACAGTGTGACATTAAAAAGCTCTAACTCAAATACAAATCTTTTTTTTTTTAGCTCAAAAGTACCTAAAAAAACAGACGTTCTGACTGTGAGCGGAGGCGCCTCTCCACAGATCTGACCTGTAACTTCTGGTCGTCTGGTTTGGTCTTCACCATCTCTAAAGTTACACAATGCAGCTTTAGCTAATTTGTGTGTGTGTGTGTGTGTGTGATACTTTTACTTGAGTTTTGTTTTTATTTTTTGTTTTTGGCTCTGGTATTTGTACTTTTACTTAAGAAACACCACCGACACTATAAAAAACAAGTATGTTTAAAGCTGCATTGTGTAACTTTTTGGTTGGTTGGGGGTCCCTCGCTTGCTTGTTTCTATGGATACGTCGTTCTC